TCTGGCTTGTGGATGTGATTTGCTCCAACAAAACCACAGTGCACTAACGCTTATTTCTGCTTGAGACGTTCTAGACGTTCCCTTGTTCTCTTCCAAAGCTCAAAATCCATTTGAAAACACTGTCTGGGCTTTTTTGGTAAAGTTAAGACAGAAATTGCTCATGAATCAATTACGTGGAGGTTAAGGACAGAAGACAGAAGAATCAGATTGGTGTGATTTGTGGTTTTTTTCTCCACTCGGTTGGAATACTGAATGGTTTAGAACAAAAAAACATACATATTATCGTATTTAGTGTATACTCTAGCTAGGCATTTGAAACAGATTTCAAGGCATTTTTGTTTATGTCTGTTTTAAGATGTTTATCTGGGAAAACAATGTAGAGGTTAATTAGTGACAATTATCTCTATTACCATCAAACAAATTAATATGATTTTGCATTTAGAAAACATATATTTACTGCAAAAGTTGTCATGGAAAAATCCTTCGGGGTCTCTAAAATTACTCAATTTATCACTAGAAGATTGCAGAAAATAAACACAGTCTTAAGTGAAGGTTGATGAAATACAAAATTTTCACTAGATGAAAAATTAGGGGAAAGGGAACAGTTTATTTTGTAAAACTTTGTTCAGCTGTTCTTAAGAGAGTCATTCTTGTTTACAAACCTACTGAAAGCAGTTGGCAGCTTTGATCAAAAATCAGATAAGCAAGATGTATGGGGAGAATGCACATACCAGCATCGCTTTGCTGACCAGGGGTACCCATTCTAGGTTTACAAAGCTGTAAATGAGAGTTGAATTTTGTCCTGTTGGGGGCATCTTTCCATAGATAGAAGTAGTGGCAGCTAGGACATTTACTGGCCTATGGGAAGGGAGGAGCTACAGTCAAGGAAATCAATAACAGCCAATAATTTCACACATTAAATCTCCATGTAAGAAAATAAAGTCCATAATCCCACTTTATTATGCAAGTTACTGCTAAACGGGTTGCTCCCTGATTTTATGATGTACTGCTTAATGAGGGATGCTCTGTACATGCCATGCATCAGTGTACAGAGATTAATTACCAGTAAGGTTTTGGTTTATGTGACAGCTGGGTTTGTGTTGCCCTTAAAAATATTAATTTAGATACACTGTAGCTAGACACAACCAGAACACCACAGAAGAAAACACCTGAAGGCAGAGCCTTGTGGTTTTTCTTGGTGAGCAAAGTATCTTACTCTTTCGGACCATAATATGCAAACACTGGCTGACTTCATGTGGCCTTCTTAGGTATCCTGCTGAGTGGGGGCCTGCTCATAACTTGTTAGGGATCTCGTAAGGGCTATGAAACTGATCTCTGCTTCTTTTCTTTTTTTCCTCGTTTACAGGAGTAACAACAGTCCTCACCATGACCACCTTAAGTATCAGTGCCCGTAACTCTTTGCCAAAAGTGGCCTATGCTACTGCAATGGACTGGTTTATAGCTGTCTGCTATGCCTTTGTATTTTCTGCATTGATTGAATTTGCAACAGTCAACTATTTCACCAAGAGAAGTTGGGCATGGGATGGTAAAAAAGCCCAGGAAGCCGCTAAAATCAAGGTGCTTACCTTACATTTTTTGAATACCTAGAATAAAAAGCAGTTACTCAGCATAGCTGAAATAACTGAATGGACAATTTTCAGCTTCTTCGTGAAAAAGGTATTTAATTACCTCATGACATACTTTCACCTTCTGTAGAGGAATATTTGCAAGGAAATATGCTGCCTTCTTTTCACGGAGACAGACTGTCGGTCTCCATCATCTGTATGGAGTGGACTGCTTTCAGAAGGATATAGGGCATTGGGTACAGGTGGCATGGGATTTCAGTGACCAAACTTCTGATAATAGCAGACATATGCTATGAAATATGTCTCTGCAGAGCACTCCCTATGTGCTCTCCAAAATAAATGACAAAGCTCACACTGAGCTCCATGAGTCAGGGTCCCATTACGGTACCCCAATAAAATAAAGAGACGACAGAGCAGTTCTCTGAGCTTCACAGTTTCACGCTGAAATGAAAATTTTGAAATAGGACTGACTCTTAGCAAATTATCTCCTAGAGAGAGCTCGTACCTGCAGGCATCCTGAAAGAGCAATGCAGAGCAGGGAAGCTGGCAGGGGCAACAAGCCCTTCACCACGCTCCTTGCTGCAGGCAGGAAGATGAGGTTCATGTCTTGGCAGCAACCTCTGCAGGGGTGGGACTGTGTTGCTCTGACAAAAGAAGCTGGCAATGCACACGCTGTGTGGGATCCAGGTCTGGCCGGCCGCTCTTAGCTTTCTCTGACATCAGGGAAAGTTTAACCTGAGTAAGGGCTATAAAATCAAGGCAGAAACAGCTGTTTGAGAGTCATAGTCAGAATAGCCAACAAGCATTTGATAGCGTGATTGATTATGGTACTTAGATTTTTGGGTTAATATCTCCACTTTCTGTTCCTGTGGTCTAATGTCTTTACTTGCAGAAAAAAGAGCGTGAGTTGCTGGGAAATAAATCAACTAATACGTACAGCACTGGGAAGCTGACCCCCGCACCAAACATGCCAAAGGACACAGCCCCATCTGTCATCTCAAACACTGCATCTGCTCCAGTGAAGTCTGCAGAAGAAAAGCCTGCTGAAAGCAAAAAGACTTACAACAGCATCAGTAAGATTGACAAAATGTCCCGGATAATTTTTCCAGTGCTGTTTGGAACTTTTAACTTAGTTTACTGGGCCACATATTTAAATAGGGAGCCTGTCATTAAAGGTGCCAGTCCTCAAAAATAAACTAAAGGACTCTAAAGCCACATGTGAGCCATACTTACAAAGCAGATGCTACCAAGGAAAATTTGAGATCCAGATGACTTTCTACATTTGGGCAATATTCTTCAGGAAGTTTTTTGCATGTTTAATAATATGTACAAATAATATTGCCTTGATTGTTTCTACATGTAACCTCAGATGTTTTGGAGACAATTATATTACTTACAGCAACAGATCTTTATAAAAGATCAGAAGACATTGAACATGGCTTCTTTGCTGCTGAGTATCTTGCATTGATAGTTTACAAATAAAATAAGTTATATTTTTTAACTGTTGAAGTGTACTACATATCGTGGTTTTTATACTTCGGATGTACAGTTATACAAATGTAGGCTTAACCTATATTTTACAGAAGAGCTCCACTGTTGTCATCTGATCGGTTACTGAGTAACGCCAGTTGTAAATGTGCCAAATTACTAAGCGCAGGGCTATGTTTGAGCACCTTTACTGGTTATAGGTAGCGCATTACTCCACAGATAAAACTGCTCAGCCCAATTTTCATTAGAAGTTAATACAATGCAGTAAATCCTAATGGGGCTATGCTGATTTTCACTGCTTGAGCCTCTAGCTTGCAGTGAGGTAACATAGGGAGCCCGATGCTACTTGTGTAAATAAAGGTGGAGGAATTTTGCCCTTAAAAGAAAATATGAAGTTTGTTTGGATTTTGCATTCCAAGGAATTTTCTCGAATGATTCTCAGTATTTATTCCAAAATTAGAGATATATTGCATGAAATTAACATAGATTAGGAACATACTTGTGCAAATAAAACTTTTAACAACAGCAGTAGACATTTTTATTAGGGTAAAGTAAATGGTGTTCGGACATTTTCCCGAGAAGAATATTGTGTTATATTAGCAGAGATTAATGGTAAAGAATTACAGCAATTCTGAAATAATTATTACCTGTTTCCCACAGTGAAAACCAATCAGCCAATAAGAAGTGTGATTACAAAAAAAGATGTGCTTCATGACAGCAAGGTGTTTCAGTGACAATATTGACAGAAAGGTCTTTGTACTGTCCATCTGAAACTTTTCTATAAAACGCCTTGCTGCTGCCAATGTGTTTTGCTTTCACAATGAATGAGATAATGCAATCTGGGTTTTCAGCTCTTTCTTCCTTGGCATTCTTTCTTTGTTCCAGAAGCTTTTGTAATTTAATCTTAATGTTTAAATAAAAAATGCATTCAACATTTGATTGCAAAATGTCATTCTTATACTGGTTACCCTTTTAGAAAGACCAAAAAATCACCACAAGAGCTGAAAGAAAGCACTCATGCTCGCACTCAATCACATGTGTGCACGATGCCTCCTCACTGTTGCCCAGAAAGGTACATACTGAGTAAAGACAATGAACTGAGATGTTTCTGAATTAGGTGCTTTCTTGCTATGGAGTATCAGCCCCATGTTCTGTTTGGGACAGAGAGGAAAGTCTGGACTTCACTTTGATGTGAGGGTCTGGTCAGGGACTGGGGAGCTGTCTGGGCTTCTTGTGTGTCTTCTCTTCATCCCCTTCATTCCTAAACATTGCCAAGAAAAAAATCTCACTCTATTCCTTTTTGCAGCTTTTCGCTTCATGCTGTGGAATTAGAAATTTGCAAATTCTCTGTGGCCGTGGAGAAGCCACAGGACTGAGCAGGTGACTGGAAGCTGGTAAGAAGGAGCAAGGGAGGGGTATGCCCAACTATTAGTTACAGCGCTATTCTGAGCCAAGGTGAGGATCTGGATCTCTGCTTTCAGGTAGGCTTCCCGTTTGGCTTTGGGTAGACACAGACCTCGCTGTTCATCATTTCTTTTAAAAGTGGGATAACGGTATCTCAATACAATTAATCCGGCCTTTTGGGGATCGAAAACAGTGAAAAACTGCAGAACCTATTGGAAGGCAAAACTTCGTGAAGTCCCATGGCTTTTCTTTTCTTGCATACAGGTTATTCCCACAAAAAGGTGGGAGCCAACAAGACCTCCTGTTTTCTCAGTGAAGGACGCGTAGCTTTGCCAAGTCCAACAGGGACGCAGTGCAGTGAAGTGCACACACATCGCATTGGGTGTCCCCAGTGATTCACTCACTGAGCACCTCTGAAACAGCTAACGCCTGGCAACTGGTGGAGAGGAGCAGATCCTTCTGCGTATGCAAGACAGACCCTCTCAGCTGCAGCCTCTTCTGCCTCTTCCTATCGCTGTAGAGATGTACAATGAATGCAACACTAGGCTCCTGGAGGCTGAATATCCAGACAAGGGGAGGTGAGCCCCACGTGCTGCCAGGGCTAGAAAACATAACGTTTCCTCTTAGTCAGGATGTACACACCTGGGGAGCTTTTCTTCTAACCATTTCATATGGGTGCACATTCCTCCTGTGGCAAGGCAAAGTGACCATGAAATGAGCAGCATGACAGGGTCTTGCTGTTAATCACTGAGGGAGACTGCCTGCAGCCCTTCAGATGAGTGTTTGTTCACTGGCCTCTACTCTTCTCCTGTGCTTGATGATGACAAGAAAGAGAAAGAATCACAAGAAGTTGCTTTTCATTTTCCGCAAACATCCACAAAAAGCCTCCAGTGTGAGGCTTTTCGCTACACGAACGAGAAACTCAGAACCATCTCTACAGCATCTTCCCTGGAGCCATTCTGCCTGCCCCAGAATTGTGGGGGCTGTGCTCATTCTATTTGCTTACACCCAAGTCTGACTCTTACCCCGAGTGGCTCAGCATCTTTTTCTGGTCTCCATTGCAGGACTCAGTGCCAGGATCTCTAAATCTGACCAATGTTACTTATATGGAGAATCTCGTTGTCTTCACTGAATGTGGAACTACCTGCAAACAGTGGACTTGCACAGCCGCAGGATCAGGCCCTTTGCTTTATTTTGGTAAAGAGTTTATTGGTGTTTACCTGATGTGTAAAAGGACCTGATAATTACCTGCCAAAGGCATGTGGCACCACAGACATTCTATACATAAATCACTTCCAGTAATATTGACTGTCACTTTCTGTGTTTGAAGGCAAAGGCAGAAAATAATGATTAGAGCTTATTCTGTTATCATGGATTTGCTAAATCAGGTTGAAATTTCCTGAAGAAACCGTCTATCTTATGTTTCTCAGAGAAGCCCATGCACTCCTAATCCTTGCTGAGAACTGAAGTGATAGAAGAAGAAGCAGCTACCTCGCAGTGTGTGCTCCTGCCTGAACAGTAGGTGTTGTCCCATGGTTTGGGAGATGCTTCAATAAGCCGATCGATTCTAGGCTGGAATACTTAAATGCCACTGCCTCGCACTACACAACACCTAACAATTTAAATCTCTCTGCAGTCAGTGGAACTGTTTGTGTGGGAGACCATTACTCATTGATGGCATCTGAACTGTGGGAGATGGGAGCATTTCCCAGATTCTGGCTCAGAGTAAACACCTTGGCCTTGTCCTGCTCCACGCTGGGGCGGTATCTGGATGTGCATCAACCCCCTCGAGTTTCCCCTGGAAGGAGCCTGGGCCTTCAGGAGTGGGGTGAGTTGTGTCACTGTCCCCACTGTGGGTGAGGTGGGACCCTGCAGGGCACATCTACTTCACAGCTTAGTCACTGCCAAAGAGGAGTTGCTTGTCTTTGGGTTTTTGCTGGATGCTTTCATGAAAAAAAAAGAGTTGAAAAGTGCATTACAACCATTCAGCATTGGAGAGTAAGTGTGTGCAGTTCTACTGCCAAATTTCCTCACTTGCGCCCATTAAGAATGAAAGAACAGCACAAATACAATGGAAAAGGTTTTTATATCTGATACTTGAGCTGTGCCAGCTTACTCCAAGGATGAATTTAGGAAACAATGTATTTTCTAAAACTTAGCCCTCTTATCTCAAATTGCGTTCTCCTTTTTTCTAAGTGGAATATGCCCTGTGTGCAAAAAATAAACGTGTTTGTACAAAACTGAGAGAGAAATTATTTAATGAAATAATCTTGTCTTTCAAAAAATCTTGCCAAGTGTATAGATTAAACTTTCAAGAAAACTAAATGAAACTGCTTTGCTATTCAGTCTGTGCTGACAAGATGAATGTAGCACTTGCACAGCTATTTGTTTTTTAAATCTGGAGATAATGTTCTTTGTAATAAGGATATTATTTCCCCTAATACCCTTGCTCCTCAGATTGGAATTGACACTGAAATGTTCAGAGGAACTTCAATTATTCTAAAAGAGTGTTTGGTCAAATCACTTGAATTCTTTCTGGCTTTTTATATGTTGTTATGTCACTACAAACACTTAAAATAGTCACAGTCTCAGATGACATCCTCACCAATTTTGCATCTTCCACTGTTTTATTATGGGCATTTGTTCAGTTCTGAGAAAGATGGAAACAATGGAAGTTAGGTTTTAGGAAACCCAAAGGACTTCTGAAGGATCTTCCTAGGATTACCACTAATTTAGACTCAAGCGTAGGTGTCCCATTCTGTAACTGCATTACTTGCCTTTTCATTGCCATCCTTAAAAGCAATTACCACTTCTCACAGTCATCATGTCTTAAAAGTCACTCTTTTAATTGGCCCTGGCTAAAAACAAAGTGAAAAGGAAATGAAGAATGTTGATTGAAGACACCAACTCATTTCAGTTAGATGAATCTGGCGAGTTTTTGAGAAACAATGATAGATGGCAATGCACTGGACTGACAATGATAGATTGCATTTGTAGGTGGGAAAAACTGATGTGTTTCACACAGGACAAAACTTGTCACATATATAATAACAAACGCTGGAATCCACCACTCACAGCAGTCTTGACCTTGGTGGATCTGAGCCAAGTTCTTCACTGGTGAGTGCTGCAGGCTGGTGTTACTGATGTCCTCAGAACAACTGCCCAGGGGTCATCCGGCCCCAGAGGTCCAAGCCTACTTGCTCTGCATGCCTATGCTGCTGCCAAAGCTGCTGAAGAGCACAGCAACATCAGGAGGGATTCTACAGATCCAGCCTGTGGGTCAAAGAGAGCGGCGAACTGCATGCTGAAGGACAGAGCTGGAGGGCACACAGAAAGTGTCTGGACCTCTGAGGTTCAACTTCATACCTCTGGGCAGATTTATTTGTACATAGCAGAGTGCTCCCAGTGGGAGCGACAGAGACCTTCAGGAGGAATAAACTGGCACTAGTCTCTAACAAATCTCTAATAAGTCTCCAGCTGGAGGACTGCAGGAGCTGTAGGAGACAGGCTTCAGCCCCTTCCCTGCTCGTCTCGGAGCAGCGCCAGCTCCCTCCTGTGCTGCTCCCGGTGTAGGTGCCAGCTTCGGTTGCTGGATGCCAGCGGGCTCCCCTTCAGTGTTTATTCACAGACAAGTTCAGGTGCCCTCTTCAGTGCTAGAAAGGGGGCACCCAGCTCTAGCAAGTGAGACACTTGTTCTGTGAGCCCCATTCCCTCCCTCTGCATTTCCCCCCTTATTTACGCTGACTAGCTCTCTGCACAGCTGCTTTTTGGAGGCTTTTACTTCCTCCCTTCACAAGAAATACCACAGAGGTATCCCTTTGGTATCTCTCAGGCTGAAAAGACAGTCGTTCTCTGTGAAAATGCAGTGAAGGGCAAGTTAAAACGTGGATCCATTTTATTGTGCTAGAGAATATAAACATCTTAGTACCATTATGGGGTATGATAAAATGTTCTTTTGTTAACACGTGTGCCGGATAATCATGATCCTTACCTGAACACACAATTTGAAGAGGCTCAGCAAATGCAGAGAGTGTGCTTAAAAGTAAGAGAAAGGCATGTGAGTATAAAGAAAAGAGGAAAAGCAGAAAAGACCGAGGGATGGGGTATAACAAAGAGTGGTGCTGAAGTATTCCTTTGGCATTAACACGTAGCCCATCGAGGACAACGGAAAGAAAATAAAGAAAATCTTAAACGTCACCTTGTTTTTCCCCTTGGCAGCCTGAGGAGGAGGAGGCAGTAATTAATGACCCGCAAAGCCCTGGGGCTCGCTGTCCCGCTGCTGGGGGGGAGGGGAGCGGCCAGTCTGACACTGAGGGTTTTCCCGCGGGGCTGGGCGACCTGGTGACCACG